AATGTACATGAGCGCATGTGTAAGTACTTGATTCCACCGTTACATTAAGAGACACATTTGGGTATTAAAATTATGGCAATAAATGCTATCATAGATATTTAACATTTATCAGTATTTGTTATGATATATACACAAATCATACATACATATGTACATATCTAGCTTCTAAATAGACATATATATTTAACCATACTCTGTGCATGTCCACCGCTCCATGGATAACAAAACGAAGGAAATCTCACCAAGTCACGAAGCTAATGTTTAATCAGTTCATAAATACATATATAAATACACCCATCAGACCACCCTGGCTTCAAGGGCAGATTAAGACGACTCATCTCTAAATAAATAACTAACCCCTCATAAATACGAGCTTATTCACTCATTCGTTCATCACTTCACGTCGAGTGTACATAAGAGCTGCATTATATTTACTGGACTATTTCAATCTTTAAGGTGTTCAACGGGAAAAATTGTATAAACTAAATTACACATATTTAGTACATAATTTTGCAATTAAGGTACTAAACATATTTATATTTAAATGTACACACATTCATTGACATTTTCGCAATTGGGTTCCGGACAATAAATTTGTTACGTTTGCAATTGTATTCACCAGATTATAACCATGGGCGCAACACAAACAACTTTCTGCAACGAGGCGAATATCCCGATCAGCACGGGTTTATCGGTCGTGGCCACGTACTACTTCACCAGCTCGTTGCTCCCCCAACAATGCGTTACCTATTACGTAGGCCGCGTCTGGTTCACGGCATTCACGCAGCTCCCTTCTGGCTACGACCCTGACGGTGGATTCAATCAGATTTACTTCCTCACCGATAACACCACCGCGATCGGGATAGATTACCGTTTTCATCTATTTAGGTACTTATCCGTCACTGAGGAAGAAGCCGAGTTCATCATGAAAGACAGCGATGGTTTCGTAACACGTAATTTTTACGCACTGAGCAATGAAATTTCTGCCGCGTATGATAGCGTTTATACAGAACGGAGGGGTTATTATGGTGGTAGTAGTCACAAAATCAGGGTCACAGGCGGACCTGGGAGGATCATTGTGAAAAGTGATGATGTTTTCGGACACGTATTCATTTTGCCGTATAAGGCCAAATTTTCCCCGTTCGCGTTGCATATTGACTGATTGTTAATATTTAATAGTTCCAGCTCACCTTATGTATAGATTGATTGATTTAGTAATTACCAAGACTTAGGGCGACGATTATATTGTATGTTTAGTAATTCTTCACATCCTTTTTTCCAATTCCCTCACAAATCACCGAAATGTAACTACTTCGCCGTCCTGAAGAAGACCCTGGAGGTCGAAACGTTGACAAATTAAGGCCTAATTTGGACCCTTCAAATATTAAAGTGAGCCCTCTCCTACCACATTTTTCCTTAAAATTACTTTATGCATTGATGCTTTGTGCTGGAATTATTATGAAAGAACTTAGCGTGACCACAATCTGTTACTGAAATTTGTAGTATATGTATGTTGTCTATATGCATATATATTTAGGTATGTACCCGTATGCATACACATCAATCATTTGAGTAGCTTCTTTATTTTGCGATTACGAATAAAATTCAAACAAATTTGAAAAAGTTCTTTTGAGAATCACAAAAAAATCTAAACGATCGAGTAATTACTAAACGAAAATTAAGTTCATATCGCATATTACGGAAATGTTTAGAAAATTGTGCAATATTTGTTTCATACTTATCTTGACAATGTATGTATGAAATATCTTAGAAAGACCCCGTGCTGCAGCAGAACCTTATACTGAACGTGCAGCCATCTCGTTTAATATATCCTTGGAATTGGGACTGATCATGGAAAGCCTCCTTGCACGCGGCGGCGGCATCCTTCCAGGCCACGTGGCAGTCCGTGGTTCCCATACCGTTTGTATTGGTGCATTCCGCATTGTTGTCATACACCCAGTCGCCGTCTTCCCATTTACCCCCCTCCACCGACACGCCCCCAGTTAGGATAACGAAGGCGAGGATAACCGCAAGTCCGGCGTACATTGTTATGTTCTGAGAATAAAAAAAAACAGAAAACATTATTATTCTCATGTAAAATAATTGAATATGGTTATATATTTTAGAAATTGACTTATGTAAATTAATATTTAGAAACTTGATGAGTCTGAAATATTTTTTAAATTGTAAAGTTGTATTTTTTACCTCGTGAAATTAAGGATTTGATTTAAGGTGGACTAATCAAATTTCTGAGTAAATTCCAGAGTTACGAGGTGGAGAATGACTTGTGGATGAGTGCGTTTCCTTGTGGAAAACGGAACCCCTTTTAAAGGTGTCGAATAGAAGCATTTATGTACGTATGTAGTAATTTGATGTAAGGTTTTAAAATAAATACAAATCCGAAATATGATTCCTTCTCAGAAAAGCACTTATGCTTATATTTACTAAGTCTATTTTGAAAGCCCTTGGGTGACAATTATGGTTATAGCTGAGAAAACGACTTTGTCAATAAATAAAGGTTGACGTGGGCAAAGCCGTATTAAATATTTCTGAATAATGGGGTAAATAATGCACCTGGTCGCAATACGAGTTACATTTGGTAGGGTTCAGTTCAACACAATTTCCGAGAAAAATTTATTATTATTGTCATGAATACATATGTGCATATTAAAGATTTAATTGTAAATTTAACACAGAAAAAAGAGGAAAGAATTAACAATGTGGATAAAGTAATTGGAGTTTTATACCACCTGTCCACCACTGGCGTACCGGCAAATGTAATAACCAGTGAGGAATTTAAAGGCTGGCTTCACAGTGCGAAACGTGGGAGTAAAGTAGTTTTGGGGGAAGGCGTGTATGAGGGGAAATTTCGTGTGGTGAATATTGAAATTTTAGGTGATAAGGGTGGCGGGACAGTTTTGAGTTTTAAAATGGGTACGGGAAAAGCTTGCTAGAATATATGTATGTGAATCTATCATATCACGAATTTATTTGGTTATCTATGCAGGTAGTTATTTATGTACATACATATGAACTGCTTTGTGCTCCTTTATTTTAATGGATTTAAACTTTTAATTTATGTAAGTGGGTGCAAGGTATCGGGGGTTAAAATAATTTGTGGCGAAGGGACCTATGACGGGACGGGACTTTTCCTGTCGGGGGATGGAAATACCTTGCAAAATGCAGAAGCTTCCTGGGCTGGATTGTGTTTTGGGATTAGTAGTAATGACAATAAACTGGAGAATTTAATCTTTCCATAACTTTAACATTTGTGAACCGATTTCGTTGGTTGATATCAGCATTTGTAGACAATTTAAGCATCTAAAGAATGCCGCCATACCCATGTTCATATCACTTCCCCAACGGAAGAAATCGTCGGGCAGGTGAATTTTGGCATATAGTACAGAGGATTATGCATCATATTTTTCTAGAGTTAAAAACTGACCTTAAAAGGTGGTCGAGGTCGACGAATTTGTTTCGTTTGTTCAACGTGTTCCCAAGACATCTAGCTAACTTGCCTATATCGCCTTTTCCACGAATTCATTACTTTTCCTATATTTACGAGGGTAATCTTCTTTCACTCATCATTAGTTTTTTTTCCAAAGACCATCCAAAGTTGTGACTCGTGTGGAATGAAGCTTGTGTTTCAAGGGTCCAAAGCCATAAAAATCAAAAGGGCTGGCATCAGGATCCTTCATAGGTATCTCGGAGTCAGGAAAAATTCAAGTCCCAAACCTTTGTTTTTATTCGGCTGCATACTGTGTCGTTTTCTGAGACGCGTTCGAGGAAGCGGCGTCATGATGGACAAACAATTTGTCCGTCTCACCAGGACGAAACTTTGGAACTTGTTTTTCCAAAATTGGCTCTAAAAATATAATCCTGTGCATTTATCTTCACTTTTTCTGGAACTTTTTTGAGATGTAACACACCACGCCCACTCATAGCAGCGACCAACATAAATTTTTTGCAAAACTTCACTTTTTTTTATGCAAAAATTCGTGGTCGGATTCTCCATCCTTGCAGTAATATATTTTTCTTTCTCCTTTACAATTTTGAACATAACAAAGGGCCTCATCAAAAATTTAAAAAAAATTCCCATATTCTTCTCACATAGCTTCTCCTACAACTTCCCAAAGTTGGTCATCCAGTTTTGCTTGTGAGTAGCATTTAGTCTGTGATCTTTGGTCTTTTTCGTCAATGTTTTTGAACTTTGTTCCTAACGGCCGTACTCACTTGTGACTGATATATTTCCACGACTTTTGCAACGTGGTTTCGGCTGGAAGGTTGTGTTCCTTGTCAGGGCGTCAATTCTTCGAAAAACGGTACGCGACACCTTTTTTGGGGGCTAAAACTCTTTTGGCCATGGGAGTCCTGCTAATTAAGATTTTCTTCTAATTCCAAAGGTATTATGTACATTAGACATTGTTCTTCGAGAAACACTATATCCGAATAATTTAAACTTGTCAACAATTTGTGTGTGTGACAATCTTCCTTCGGAAAAGTGCTTATTGAGATGGTCGACTTTGGGGGACAATATCTCCGGCATTTTTCGACCAATTTTTTCGAACCAATTGTTTTATAGACCTCTGACAACTCCAATTTCACAAAAAAAATATATAAATACATAAAACTACTTTAGCGTGGAATTTGATCAGTTTTTAACTCTAGAAAAATACGATACATAATCCTGTAAAATTTTAATGCCCAGCTGGAATTTCACCCTGTAATTCTCCATGTGTTCCTTTTGCATGGTTTAGATTTATGCAAAAGATAAGAGGTGTTCCTGTATTTCGAGGGTACTGAAATTCCCCAACTTTGTTGCACCAAGGAATATGTGACGCAACATATCGAAGGCAACAGAAAGACGAGAATGCGATTCCTCCTCTTCCTTTGGATAATGATGATGAGAATCATGATGAAGATGAGGGGGTGGAGGAGGCTAAGGCTCCTAGAATCTGTAGAATTGAAATTTAATGATGTTTTTCTTTATGTTTGCACAATTTTATTTCTTATTAATTTTTTATTTATGTTTTTATGTCTACACACTTATTTACTAACCAGCAAATTAAGTCGTATGCATATATAAATTTGACAATTTGAATTTTCTGTGACGGTGACTTTTGTAAAGATTTTTATCATTTTTTAATCGCACACTCATCTACTGGGACATATTCGACAAAATTTGTCGGATATCTCGTCGGTCGAAGTGCCCCACAATGAGACTGTTGATCCCCATTTAATCTTTCTTCCTGATACGCCCGCAAGAAATCCTCTGTCCAGTTAAACTTGGTCGCGACGAGGTCATAATAATCACCCGCGATGGAGGTCGGTGTGTCTATAATGTATCGAAGATTTGACGCCCCTTGTACCGTGTGGTAAGTTTCGACGCCGAAATCGGCCAAATGGGTGTCCACGTCGTAGCGAGACATGCATCCCAATCCGCCCCGGGGGTAGTACCAGAGTAGATTTTGACACATTTCTTCGTACGTGGAATGCCCGCCGATTACGGGTTCTCCACGCCGCCAGATGGATGAGTACGTACACTCGACGGACATCTGATCACCTGGGAGAATTTGACGGGTTTCAAGAAGGATTTTGTTCTGTTGGAAGTCAAAATCGTACTGGTTGTCAAAATCGATCCAGGGTAGTTCAATGTTCCCGCGGAAATGGCGGGTTCTCATCTTTCGACCTGGGGAAGAACCAAAAGAGTTTAAAAAATCCGGAGCTTTTTTCTTTATATACAGTTTATATATTCTTTCTGTCAAATCGAGTTTTTGTATTTTCAAAATTCTACAGATCATTACATTTGGAATTTAAAAAAAATCTAGAAATCGATGTTTTTAAAATGCCTCTAATTTTAAAAGGGTTTTGCCATTACTAGAAATAGTTACTGTCTCTATTAAAATTTGTCAAATTTGTCTGAAATTCACATTTTGACAAGCTAAAATGTTTTTCAAAAATCTTGCTAAAAGTTTCTGTAGATTTGTAGTATTAATTAGAAAATGTTTTATATTGGAAACTTTACTCAATCTAATTACCACCCATTCATTTAAATAATTAATTGTGCACATATCCTTATGTGTGAAGACCCACATACCTGATTTATGTGAATGCAGCATCGAGGCAAACACAGTGATCCCCTCGGGTTCTAGAGCTTCCCGAGTACATTCTGGACTACAGTGGCCGACCACCTTAAAGGCGTCCTGATTTGGCGGTACGGTTAATGAAATATCTACATATTGACCCAGTGCAAGAATTGCGGCATCGATCGGTCTCAATTCAGGCGTGTAATACATTGCGAGTGCCGTTTCGAAAAAGACACCTTCCAAAAGTTGCGGATTATCGTAGTGAATTTCGACCATGTAATACTGCGCATTTGGGGATTCTCCTATCGGGAAGCCGACTTGTTCAGGGAAGATCATCATCTGCAAAAATCGAGGCATAAAATATTTCGCAACTTTAACAATGCAAAAATTTTATTATTCACGGAGATTCGAACTCGCAGTTTCACAAAAGCCACCCCTTCTATTCCCAAGTTTGTCAAAAATTAAAATTTCCTCACCTTCCCGCCCTTCGCCCACGTGTAGATGACTGACTGACACTGTGCTATTGGGAGTTCTTCTGTTGTAAAACAGTGATCCCCTATTACCCCATTAGCGTACGTGAAGCGATCAAAGTACTCTTCGTCCGTCTGATTCCCGGGAGCCTTACACGTATAAACTACAAAATGGTGGGTGTGCTGAAACGATTCCAGGCTGGGCAGTAGGGTGTCAAACTGGCGAGAAAAATTTGAAAATTTAAATTGTGCCGCTAAAAATTTTAGCTTTCACCATTTAAATATTTACCGCCACAATATGATTCTTGCTCGCTAAAGTGGGCCCTTTATGGAACGTGCACCAGTACGACGTGTCAATCGCAGGCATTGTTATATTCACCGCGATTGTGAAATTTTGCATGGTTGACACGTCCAGTTCGGGTGTGTCAGCGTGGACCAAGTTCAAACTCTTGGTCCCCCTGTTGGAAGCACCGTGATAGGAAATGGTATCTGTAGCCCCGAGAGCCCAAATTATACGGCTCGTGTCATTCTAGAAATTATTTATTAATATGTAATCGCAAAAATATATTCGCCTTATAAAATTTTTGGTTAGATTGAAGGCCAATTTTTGATTATATGAAATATGTATATCGTTCAAGTTACCCCGATTGCAAAATCTTGCTCATCACATGTGTTAAGAAGTCGCGAAAATTTTAAAATCGTCTTGTTCTGCGCCGCCATTTCATACGCCTCAAGCAACCTCCAGTCCTGTTGGGTGTCCAGGATCGGGGTGGTCTCACCAGTTGCATGGAAATCCTAAAAAAAACAACATACAAAACCTTATAAAAATATGTGTTTTTAATAATTTAGGTCTACAAAACAGGCTACAACACAATATACACAGTGTTGGCTACGCATCCCAATACACATGGAGTATTTGTTAATATGTAATTTGTTAATATGTGAAGTGTATGTTTCAAACCGTGCTACCTGCCCATACGCTGAGCCATCCGCGCCCACCCCCGCGATAAAAATATCCGCTCCGGTCATCGTTCCCGAGGGGGAAATTCCAAACCCTACAAAACCCAGGGTTCCAGCCTCAACTTCAAACTCGACCCTATCCTCTACCACATTCCACCTCAGCAGATACCTCCCTTCCCCATCTAAGGCTTCTTCATTCGCGTAAATATGCTGCTTAATTGAGGCCCCCGTGCAAATCTGCAGAATTAGAAACAGCGTCCCAATTTTTGCCAACATGTTGTATAAATTTTCAAGTTTACTCATGATTATTACTTCTTCAACTGTGAACAGAAAGGTCCATTCTGTGAGAATTTATACACCTCCAACTCCAACAAAGAATGTGATCCCGTGTGCAAAACAAATTGTATAAGGATATCTATCTAATCTCATCTCCGAATTGAAACATATTGTTCGTGTACCTTAAATTTTTGTGAGGTACGAAAAACACCTGTGCTCATGTGGGCCATGCAGTAAGGATGTGATGGTTTCTAGGTCATTGTTTCCTACACTCTTGGCAAACTTGTAAAGTTATATATGTATGTACATATGTATATTCCGTGTTGGTATTGATTTATTACAGGATTTTTAATAAATAGTTGTTATTTTTTTTATTACCGTCACACCATTTCTCCTCGGCCCCTCGATAAGTTTGATTTGATGACTCAATCAATGCGAATCAGTTCATTGATAACTTGACAACCTCGTAAAATCCAACACTTTGCGACACAATTTTGTACAAGTACATGCATACATGTCCAGTCTGAGTCAATCATTCAGACAAACCTGTCGCTGCGTAGGTTGTGTCACATGGTTTTCCTTATCTTAATTGGGTCCAGGACTTGACGACACAAACAATGAATACATACTCAGAGTCACATGCTGCTCGGGAGAGGCTTCCATAATATTCAATTCAATAGCACGCGTATTTCCTGTCCAGTTAAATGATCACCTTGACTTTAGAATTTAATTCAACTTGTCGAGCTAATTGAACCAATTTGTGACAAATTAGCACCATATGGAAACAATTCATTTTCAGTCGGTGGAGGAGTGCTGTATGAATATGTTGTGAACGGAGAAGAGCTGCCGGTGTCATTCATGCGGCGGATTGTTAAATTATTGTTCATGGTGGCAATTTTTTTTTTTACTACATTTGGTTTTCATGAAATACTGATAGTTAATTCGTTTATTCATTATGATTAGTACTTTTGCATATGTATATACAGGTCTATGAAAATTTTGAATGCAATTCTGTCAATAGCGAGTTTTCGCTACAAGCAGATTTGCAATTTAGCTTCCAATTTGGCTTGGTGACGTCACGGATGACGTCACTATTTTTCCAGCGAAGCCAAATTCGTAAGCTAAATTGATATTTCTAGCTTGTAGAGAGGGGTCTACAAGCTGGTGTTTCGGCTTAACTCACAGCCAATCAGCGCACGCGGTGGTGGTGACTCTCAATCCGCAGCCGAGTCAAGTTGAGATTCTCCACGTGCGGCGCACATTTTGTTTTATCCATGCATCAACACAGTGAAAACATATGTTTTTTTTTGTAAACAAAGTTTTACTTTCGCGGGTTTATTAAGCGGATCTCAATTTGGAGTGTAGCGAAACAAGTTGTCTCCAAGACAAATTGTTTTGGTTTGGCTTCGTAAAATCTGAAGCCAATCCGAATCCGAAATCATTTCAGCTTGTAGCGAAAACTCGCTAATCTTACATATTCATACAAGTCAGTGATAATGGACTGGATGTTGGAAAACTTTGCGTCGGCATTTTGTCGTCAGTGAGCGTTGGGAGCGCGTTTCATATTGTTATTTCATTATTTACAACACTCGTGGTATATACATACTACCTATAATTTTAAGGTAGATTTATGCACTTATGTACACATGTATCTATGTATCTTAAATATGATAGATTAGTCAGCTATGCAAAAGTTGCCGTGTGTAGGCTTAAGTTTCGGAAAATTTTAAACCCACGTGTAGTTAATAATTTAGCACATATGCAACTCACACAGGAAGTTGGTTTAAACTACAGAAATTAGCAATAATTTACATATGTATGCATACCGTTCCATGTCCGGAAGCCTGAAACAGATACACATTGTCTACAATATAATAGGCGAGGTTTAAACGCACTTATAAAAATGCAATATACAAAGTAAGTACATATACATTTACACAAAGTCTCAACTTATGTATTATTCTTCATTAATAAAATAAATAGTTTGTTCCCATTCGACCCAATAAATAGGCGTCTTATCGTCCCACAAACTTTCGTCGCATTGATATATATTGGCATAATTTCAAATTTACTCAAATACTACGAAACTTGTATTTTAGTGTATTTTCCGTGTTTCTACTTTAGCAGTTAATCTCCCAAGAATTGTGTCTTAGCAAATCTTAACTTCGATATTCCAACCTTTAAAAAAGGAACTTTAGTTTTGACACTTTAAATTTTTAACTTCGTAATTAAAAGTTGAAAACAAAACAAAACGGTTTTGAACTCGTAACCTGGACGATGAGAATTTAGCTTTCACAAAAACAAAATGGATTTATAATTGTTTAACAGGGCACACATTTTGTGCAAGTTACCGTGGTTTCTTCATACTCGACTAATCATGTACCAACCCCGTATTTTATGCTTTTAATAACAATTTTTCAATTGGGGTTATCATGAAAAGCATAACCCTCCTCGTAACCGTGTCCATCTTCCCCATTGTGCTATCCATACCTGGACATAAGTCGAGTTCAGCCTCGCAAATTTTGGACATTGGCCTATCATTAAAACCTTTTGCGAACTGTACCACTACCATACTTCCGCAGGACAATTACTCGCTTTCAAATACAGACCTTCCCATCATATTGGTAACCCAATCATCAAAAAGGGGAATTCCATGGAGCAAATTAATTCCTACCAAATTTTCAATTTTACGACGACGCAACTCTGCCCCACACTGTTGGGCGAGCTTAATAATCCTTCCAAAATTTTGGAACATTTATAATTTTGATGCCCAGTTTAGGAATAATTGGACAAATCACTTCCGGTTCGTACGGACGGTATCCAATCATTATTTTCTCCTTGCTTCCATAACTCCCGTCATGACAAATTGGTACGTTGAACGACTTGTTACAGTTTACGCCAACAAGTTTAGACCGTTCCAATATTTCGGTAGGATCTAAATAATTCTAGTTCACCTTACCCCGAGATCTACCGGGAGCAAGGATAAGTCATCCATACCGATAAGGCTGGAATACTTGAACCATTTTTATGTAAATCCTAACGAAATTTCAACCGAAATTGACATATCACTAACTGAAACATCCTTTAATATTTCTTGCCCCTCCAACAAAGCGCGCAGCTGCGTCGACCAGCTGACCCAGATCAGCTGGATGGTGGCAAATTTAAACAAATATTTCTGGATACCTAGTTACTATCGTAACAAATTAGTTCCCATTTTTGCAAACAAAAACCTACCCAAACTTCCAATCATTTCGGCAATATGTTCCGTTAATTTATTTCATGATCTAGTATCCTTCTGGATATTTCAAGACATCCGCAAACCAACCCATTTCCCGAACTGTTTCCAATTTAGATCGCTTCACGATATGGACAACCTTCTCGGTTTTTCAGACGATTCCTTCCTCCTCTACAAAGTTGAAAAGTACAGTTTCCTCTCATGTTATAATGTACAGCGGGATTCTTCCCTCCTTTCCGCGCTAACCAGTCCGTTCGATTTTTCAGCATGGCTCTGCTTTCTAGCCAGCCTTCTCTTGGTGGCCATCTTATTAACCACGTCACAAAATAAATTCTCCTCCGACGGAGCACAACTTGCAGTCGGGGTAATGTTAGAAAGTTCAGTCCTAAGTTTATTAAAGTTCCCAAAGAAGTACCACATTTCTCTCGTTGTCATATTTTGGACACTATTTGGAGGAACGGTTTTGCCCAACTTGTACAAAACCGTGTTCACCATCGAGATGATTTTTCCTACAAGATACACCGCCCCGTGGGAAGGATTACTTGACATTGATGGTGTCAAAGCCCTCATGCCGTTGAGGCTGATGACTGCCAATATTAGGTCACTATACCCCTACGACGTATACGCAAACCTCTTCTATTTAGCGATACGTCAGAAGGCCCTATCTTTATTGGAAGTGAATAAACATAATAAGCGGTATAAAAACTATCGTCGAATGGCAAATTTACTGCTAAATTCAACGCTTAAAAATTTCACCCTTCATGGCCCCACTTTAAACCACACGCAAAGAAGATACATTCCAATTCAGCCCATTTTGTACAACGAGACAGCCCAGCTGATCGAACAGTTGTCACCTTGGGACAAAATCGGATTTTTAGATGAAAAGGAGAACGTTGAAGCTATTCTGCCATTTTTAAATGACAACAAGGACGGGATTACCTATTTAATGGGGGAAGATGCCTTCTTCACGGGATTTCGTGGTTGGCCAGTTTTGCCGATTCGGCGGGATTATTCTCTCCGTCGTCTCGGTGTTATGTTATCATCAGGGATATATGATCATTGGGAGGGTTTGTTTAAACTGGTCAAACCAAAGAAGCTATTTCATCATTATGCAAATTGGACGTTTCCACGACTCCGGAGAGTGGCAAAGCTGGATTTTAAATCTAAAATCATGACTGCCTTCTACATTTGTGGGGGATGTCTACTGGGCAGTGTAATGTTCCTGGTGGGAGAAGTTATTTCTGTTTTTTTTTTATATAAAAAGCGACCTTTCTAGTAATTTTAAATTTGAGAGACGGGATATAAATTAAACTGTGTCTCAAGTCTGATGATATCCCCACCAACACCACGTGCGCATGTTAAGTACCTATGTAAATAATGGGCACGTGATGTTGGTGGGGATATCACCAGACTTCAGACAGAGTTGATGATGAGACGATGTCATATTATTATTAGACGAGATGAGATGAGATGGCCGCCAAATGACATCAGATTTCACGTAAGACCGCCAAAAAAGGTGGTAACACGAGATGAGATAAGCTCATGATAAGATGACATGACTTGCAGCGAGATGAGATCCATAAGCAGTAACGTATCTCATCTCAAAATAAATGAGACGAGTTACAACTTTGACTATCCCATTTAAGTTCCATCTCATCTCACCAAGTAGTGAGATGAGATTAGGTCTATCTTGTCTCATCTCGTCTCACGGCAACTCTAATTATTGAAGAGTTTTATGTGGTAGGACTTGGTACCCTAAAGCGATATGTAAACGTAAGACAAGAAAGGTATTGAAAGTCAAAACCAATCTGACATTACAAAGCAAA